GTGTTCGCAGTGGTAGTTTCTAGATAGAGGAATCAAGAGATTTTCTTTCTGATGATCTTTAATTGTTCTATTCTGAGCATGGATGACGGTTATAAAAATAAATATGTCTAATTTCCTCTGGACCCCACTCTTATTCCCTAATCTAGGTTGGGAATTAGTTTATCAGACACATCACTCCTTCCAAATGTATACAAGACTGAATATTCAAAATGTCTCTGAGAAGGGTCTCTGTTTTATAAAGAAGAAAACTGAGGGTTTACTTATCAAACTTAACTATTTTTATTTTATTTATTTTTAAAGTTTTTATGTGTATGAGTGTTTGGTTGTATATGTGTATGTATGTGCACCGTGTGAATGCAGGAAACCATGGATACCAGAAGAGGGCACTGTACCCCTTCAAACTGGGGGGTAGTGAGGGTTGTGAGCCACCATGTGGGTTCTGGGAGGCAAGCCTAGATCCTTTGCAATGGTAGCCAGTAGTCTTAAGCCACTGGTCCATCTTTCCAGGTGCATTTTAATTTATTTGTGGTTGTACCTCTGTATAATATATGTGTGACTGTGCTTGCACACTAGTTGTGTGACAACATTCCTGGGGACAAAAGTCAACTCACTCAGATAGGGAACCAATAACATACCAAAGTTCTGATACCACCAAAGTCCAACTTGGTGAATTAATTTAGGGTTAGTTATAGGAATATGGGTGAAGGGTTATTACAGAAATAGAAATGACTCAAAGACAGCTGCATCACCAAAAAAGCCAACCTAGCATGGGTGACAGTTCACCAAAGCTGGAAGGCTGTAATATACACACAACTTGCATGTGGCCTGACAAGTTGGTGAATGTCTGTTTTAAGAAACTCAGGTAGTCCAAGCCCCTTGTAGGTAGCTCTGCTGGTCTCTGCTTCTTCCTGGCAGCATGGTGGGTCTTAGCCTTTTCTAGGTAGCTCAACTCCTCTGACAGTATCTCTCAGAAGTCTTTACTGCTTATATGCACTGGGTAGTGAAGGGGAGTGGAATCTCGCAAATCTAGTCAGTTTTAAGGACTTCCTAAAGCCTTTGCATTGTTTACTTCCTGAACTTAACAAGCTTCCCTGAAGGATGAACTCTTTGACCTCCCTTTAGGACAAACACCCTGTGTCTTAACAAGTTTCCCACCAAAATGAATGCTTATCTTCCAAGAAATCAATAGGCAATATGAATGTGGGTGTATGTATATTCATGTGAGAGTATGTGGAGAGACCAGTAGCCCATGACAGACATCGTCCTCTCTTTCTCTGCACATTATTTTTTTTTTTGAGGCAGTCTCTCACTGAGGTTAAAGCTCATTCATTGATTGGCTGTACTTGTTGGACATTCTGGGAGTTCATGGGAATCACCTGTCACTCCCCACCCTGTGATAGGGTTACAGGTACCATACCATGTGGGGTTTATATGCTTGCCAGGCAGGTACTTCACTGACCAGCCATCTCCACAGCCCCTAAATTTAACTCTTTTTAGTGTATCATCTCTCTAAGTAACAAAGACCAATCAGGAAAGAAAGTTCCAGCCACAGGATTCTGGCCTAACCCTGTTTGGGCATTTAATAGCCATCTACTCACTGAAGTCTCCTAACCACTAAGAGCCCCCATTTCTTTCGCTTCAAAAGTGTTTATAAAAATAGTACAAGATGAATATCCTTAACCTAAAAGCCAAAATCCTGTAAGAAACTGAACCTTTTCGTGTTGAGTCTATACAAATATTTCAAAGTCTAAAAACTTTCAAAATTCACAACACTTCTGACCCCACCATTTCCTATAAGGGATACCCAATCTGTCCCTGCCTCCAGGCTGGTATGCACCACTTATGACCCACACTATTAAGAAGGGTTTCCTGATGGAAGTCACTTTGAAGAGAAAGTCTGACAGATAATCGATTAGGAAGATGGAACTTCTTAGACAGGTGGAGAGGAGGTGGGAAAAGTTGCCGAAAGGAGAATGAACATCTCAATCCAGAGGTCCCAGAGAATGTCTGTGGTCTGATGGGTAGAACAACAGGCAGTTTACCTGATGCTGGGAGGGCCCAGGAGGAAGTGTGGGGAGAAGCAGGAAGGTAGAGCCAGCCCTTGTAGTGAACATTGCTGTGAACTCTGGACTAGCCAGTGTGTGGCGCCTCAGAATCTTTCCACACAGTCTCTGCTTTTGCAAGGAGAGAGGAAAGATGGGGCGGTTTATACCCTAAAGAGCAGAATGAGTGCACCCTGCTGGGGAACCAGAGAGGGATTTCCAGTGGAGGGTGTCTATTCGATGGGACCCCAGTTTGATTTTTTTCTGAAAAAAAAGATGGGGGACAACCTGGGAAAGTGGCATGAATGGCTTAGAACTCACTCCAGTACTTGCTGGACCCTTTTGAAAGGCCAGGGAGTATTGTTCAATTAAAGCCTGGCATGTGGATGAAGTGGTCCATAATGAAGACAGTGGGACAGAAGACATGGCAGCTTCCATCTACTGGTGTTGGTGATTGGGAAACAATTCACTAAGTATCCAACAATATTTATGGTATACCATGTAGACTGAGAGTCTGTCCCACCGGGTCCCGAAGCCCTTTAGTCACAAATAAACAACAGAGGCTTATATTAATTATAAGCTGTTGGACCAATGGCTCAGGCTTCTTATTGGCTAGCTCTCTCTTAATTATTAACCCATTTCTATTAAACTATATGTTGCCACGAATCTGTGGCTTACCTGTCATGCTTCCGCATGTTACTTTTTGGTGGCTACATGGCATCTCTCTGGAAACTCTCTGAGTTTCTCTTCCCAGCCTTCTCCTAGACTTGTAGCCCCGCCTACACTTCCTGCCTGGCTACATCCTGCCTGCCCATTGGCTGAAACAACTGTATTCATCAACCAATAAGAGAAACATATATCCACAGCATACAAAAAGACATCCCCCATCAATACCAGGTGATGTAGTAGCCAGAGTGAAACCAAGCCTGGTATCCCTCCCAATGAGGGTTAATTTTAGAAGGATAAAATTAGTGGAAAACTGCATAAATTGATGTAGTTTGTGGATGCTTGTGGGCATAGGACCAGGGTCTGTGACAAGGCAGGAGAGGACTGCTCTATTCTGGAGAGCACAGAGGTGGTTCATTAATGACATGGCAATTGTGCTAGAGTTGGAAGGTTGAGAATAAGGTAAAGAGGCACAAATAACAAAGGAGGGTGCCTGCAGGCAGAGGGAAAAATGCATGCAAGCATCTCTAGCAGGAAGGCAGTTGGTACTATGGTGATAGAGAACAAAGAGGAACTTGGTACAACACAAAACTAGTCAGGAGGCATCAAATCTTATTCAGGGTCTTATGACAGACAGTCTACAATGGTACAACGGGAAACATTGAAGACTGTGTAACTTGAGCAGACCTAATCAACACACTCCAGTATGCAAATAAGCAGGGAGGGAACTGAGAGACACCATTTTCTGATTTACTGTCTGTGAAGCTCACCTTGTTTAAGCTAGACAATAATTCTGCAAGGCCCATCCTCATCACAACTGGCAAGGAGAAATCTGAAAAGTCAAGTGATTTTCACTCTCCTCAGCTAGCTTTGTGGAAGAAACAGAGATCCAAACCAAGATCCATCAGGCAACAGAGAACAGTCCACGATAACCCCAGGAGATGAGATTAGTCAAACTAGAAGTTAATACAAACTAGGATTAACGTAGCCAGATGGGGAAAGAGGCTTCACCCAGAAGGGCAGAAAGTCACCAACAAAGTAGACAGGAGACTAAGAATGATCTCAGGGAACGACATCAAAGGAGCTATCCCCAATGGAAGTGTGCACAACCCACCCCCAAATGTGTCTATCCTAAGAAATGCTGCTGCAGGAGAAAAGATTAGAAGAAACCATGCAGAAGTTGTTCTTGGGGGCTCCCTGGTGATAGATAACCTATGTTTTCTCTTATGTTGTTCATGCGTGTTTTCTAAATTTTTCTATAATTGATATGTATTTCTCATATAAATAAGCTAAACAGGTGCAGTTGTGTTTTAAGGAGATTGTGTGAATTTTTTAGTTCATTGCAGGCAATGGAATACTGGAATCTTAAGCAATTTACAGCCTACAACTGAGCTCACCAAGTACCCTACACACAGCAGGAGCTCAATGAAACGAACTAATGATGAAGAAGATGGAGTTAGAGGACGACATGAAACAGGGTGATAGAAGGCCAAGGCTGGCGATTTTGTTCCGAAACAAAGTTCAAGGTTCTGGGTCAAAAAAATCTCTTTGTCTTGAAACAGACCGTGGAGCTGTGAATCCACCTACTGTTGACTTGCAACTGTACAGGGACCACACTCACAGAGAGCAAATTCATCACAAGTTTCAGCTGAGCCCTTTCAACCTGTCTGGCCCTGCCTAGGCTGTATAGGGAGAAATAGACACAAGGGAAGAATAAAATAAGACCATTTGCCAGAGCAAATATTTTGATGCTGCAGGATTTGGGGAGGTGTGAGAATACTGGCTCCGAGGGCTCTATCTCCTAACCAAATGGCACAACATACCATGGTGTTATGATATTGGATTGTTAATCATGGAAACACTGGCATCTGTTTCCGCAGAAGCTCCCTCCCAGATGGTGCATCCTACTGTTTCTGTCGTCTGGAACACTGTGAGGTGCCTTCAATGGCTGTAAGCTTCCAAATCAGCCTTCATACAATGGCAGCCTGTTAATTAAGTGGTCCCTTTGTGATTGCATTTGATAAGTATGAGATGAGAAGGGGTTATTGAGATGTGAAAAAAAGCAATGGGGAGGAAGGAGCTTTCCCAGCACCAACACCTGTGTATGGGCATCATCCTATTGGCTTCAAAGGGAAGGAGAATAGCTTAAGATATCCAGGCATGAGCCCTCGAGTCACACAGACAATGCTTCCATCTCTACCCAGTGGACATCCAGTCTCATGGAAGTTGAATGTGATGAGCAATCCAGCTGCCACGCCTCACTTATCCCTTTTCCATTGAGGCAGGCAGGGGATGGAAGCCTTCCAGCCAGCTGGTAGGGTGACTCGAGCCTTTGGAGGATATGCAATTGTTCTACAGGATGTCAGACACTCTTTTGACTCCAGTGGGGAAGATTTGGGTGATGGAGCACCAAAAAAGGTATGAGCCGCCTGTGTTCTTGGAAGAGCAGACTGGTGACAACTTGATGTTAAATGTTAAGTGCTCACGCCCAAGGACTTGACTTGGAGAGCTGGGGAAGATTCGGGTCTGACTTGTGAGACTTGGCTCTCAGACAGCAGTCAACCCTCTCCTAAAACAGCACACCCGGGAGAAATGGAGTCTTCAGCAGAAAGTGGATCTCTGACAGCTCCTGTCCAGTGTCCAGGAAGAAATAAATCAACCTTGGGCTGGATTACAGAATCTGTGGTTTACCAGATGACTTTGTCTTCCCCACTGGTTGAACCTAAATTCACTCATTCATGCAATACATCTCAATTAGTCAAAGACTGGGAGGGAGCCATAGTGGTGGGGATGTAATGAGCTGGCAGGTGTACCTTGGCTCTTGAGGGACACACATTCCAGCAAACACAGGATTCTGTGAGCCAAATGGGACCAGAGACCTGGGCTTTTATCTTCATACTCCCAACACTACCTGATGTGTAGTAGTTGGTTACTCAACAAATTTACTTCATGAATGGACAGACTTCATGAATGACTGTTGACTCCCTCCGCCTCCTGTGCATCAGAATACTTTGTGTCTCTGTTCATTTACTCCAGCTGTCATTTGTGCTTAGTTTCCTGGCTTGCATGGCTGCAAAGAACAGCTGCTTCTCAATGGCTGCACCTTACTGCTTAATACACTTGGAGACTGTTAATAAATTTACCTTTTGCCCTTGGCTTCTTCACCCACTGGTTGTCAGTATCTGTCCTTGGTCACCTGGAATAAGAATAGTTTCTTTTGGCATCAAATGGTCCCATGCAGTTTGCAAATGTTTTTATTTATATGATTGTTTTTTCTTTTTTTAAGGATGACCCAAGAACATCCAACAAGTCTCTAGGCTGCCTTTGCACCAATACTATCCCTCACCCTGAGGTCTCTCAACTAAAACTTTCATAATACCATTCAAATATAATTCAGTGAGCCCCTCCCCCTAAAAATACTCAGCTTGGTGACATTTAAAGCTTTTCACACTAGAGTGTAAATTATGCCAGATCCTGTATTCACAGTGGGTTATAACAAACCTGGAAAACCACTGAAGAATCCAGAAATTTTTCTCTGGGCCAGATCTGTACAGCAGCAAACATTTGACCTTGGCAGAGAGATTCAGCAGCAATTAACATATTTATTATTATTGTTGTTCTTGCTATTTTCACAGTCAGTACAACTATTACTATTAGAGTTAATTTGCTCAGTAAACACTAGCCCAACAAATAACTGCTTTTTCCGTGCAATGTAAGCTCTGCTGATTATGTTTTCATGACTATCTACAAACTAAGCCAATCCTTTTGTTTTAATTCATGTTAAGTATCAACAGATGTTCTCTTAAAATATTCACAAGCTGTACCAAAGGGGACGGTTTATATGGCTAGTAAATTTGAGCAGAGCAGGAGGAAGCGGAAATGATTTCTTTGGGGTAATGGGAACAACGTGGTGGCAGGATTTCGTGGAATATCTTGCATCTTTGGCTGTTTCAACTAGTTTTCTGTCTTCTGGTGAGGAAATATCCTTCACTGGGCAGCTGACTTGCTAGGGGACCTTGGGGAAACTGAGTCCACTCCCCGTTATGTGTTCAGGTGCTGAGCCTGTGGCATCCTGAACTCAGAACACAGACTTCCCACTTCTGCCCAGTCCCCAACTTCTTTTTAACTATCAATGCCAGACCCCAGTGGGTTGGACAAAGACCAGGAACCTTGCTCTAAAAACACTACACCAAAAAAAGCAGCCTCCAGGTGAGTTGTGTCTACAATAGAACGTATCTATGCTGTATGCGGATTCCCTATCTAGAAGGAAGTCACTGTGAAGCTTCACTGTTGCTCAGATGTCCCCCACTTCCATCCACAACCTAGACTATTCGCCTGGCTTCTGGTCCCTTAGCTGTCAAATTCTTTGTATTTCTTGACTGTTTGCCCACAGTCTGTTTTGACTTCCCACCTCTAGATGTTTCTGAGGCATATCCTGCCCCACTGCCTGAGTTCTCTAGGAAGAGTTTTCTTCTGCCATGGTAAATTCCCAGGTATCCCTTGTGAAGGCAGATTGGAAAAGTCTGGCTGTGAATTGCTGATTAAGAAATAGGTCACAACTTGCTGTAAATAGGACCCTGATTGTCCTGATTATTCCACTCCACAGCTTCTGTACTTTCCCACACAACTGTACCCTGCACACTGGCCCTACTTTTCTCCTGATTGGCCCTCCTCTTTAGATGGGAGACACTGAATGGCAAATGGCTGGTCCATAAAGACCTGGAATATCTATCTTCTCCCCTTACTCTTGCTCACAAAGACACATAATTTCTTCCAAAAACATAGAAGATAATGTGGAGGGTTTTTTTTTAACCCCAAATAAAAAATGTGAGAGCACTTTTACAATAGTAGCAAAATAAAGCAGAAAGAAAGGATTATTTCCTACCAACTCCTGCCTGTACCCACACAGTCTCCCACTACCCACATTCCCCACCAGAATGGTCCAGATTTTATGAGCAATGAGCCTGCATTGACATATCACAATCACCCATGTTCATGGTTTACATTAAGGTTCACTCTTGTGTTGCACATTCTGTGGGTGTTGATAAATACATAATGACGTTTTTCTACCATTATAGCATCACACCGAGTAGTTTCATTGCCCTAAAAATTCCCTAAACTCCCCGTATTCATTCATCCGTTCTCACATACCCCCTGGAAAACCACTGACCATTTCAAATTTTGCCTTTTCCTGAAAGTCATACAGTTGGAATTGTATAGTCTACATCCTTTCCTGCTTAGTTTCTTGCGTTCAGTAATGTTGATTTAATCACTGAATATTTTGTCATAATCTAGACACACCACAGTTGCATGTCCATTCATATACTGAAGGGTATTTGGTTCTTTTTTCTAATTAGGATAATAATGAATAGTCACTATAAACATCTTGAGGAAGAAAGGTTTAGTTATTTTCATCAATTGTAACTTTTTCATGAATGGGAGTAAGCTATAGTAAGCATTATATATAGCTCAGAGTGTAGGGTACATAGCCAACTCAAGACTTACCAAACAGGTGTACTTGTAGATAAATTATTCATGGAACCTGGAGGTGACACTTCTTTATGAGTTCAATTCCCAAAGACTGACTCAGGAAGCTGGGCTGTCACCAGGTTCAAAGACTGGTTCAACCTACAATGGAAGGGAGGAAGGAAGGAAGGAAGGAAGGAAGGAAGGAAGGAAGGAAAGGAGGGAAGGATTGAAAATCTCCTTCTGGGGAGGAGGCAGCAAACTAACATCCCAAAGTCATTTTAAGGAGACATTTTGTTCTTCTCTGAGCCTCTTGGGGAAATGACATGGTGACTAAAAGAATTGTTGATATGTGTTGTCCTCCCCCATTAAAAGGAGCTAAAAAAGCCCTGGGCATCAAGATGTGAACTATTTCCTTCAGGGAAGAATGGAGCCACTAAAAATAGCCTTGGAAAATAAGAAGTTGTAGAGGCCCAACAAGGAAAACAAATCAGAAATAAATTTGGCACTGAGAAAGAAAGGAGAAAGAAGACAAACTCGAGCAGGCAGTAGGGGAAAAGAGGCTATTAGCTTGAACACATAAAAGCAGGTACAATTTTTCCCACCCACGGAGCTGCTGGCTGGCAT